ATTTAGCTCAATTATAACAGTAGAAAATAAGTGGGATGGAAGAAACCAGTAGAAGGAGCAGCTGGGGAAGAAGGAGAGGAGAGGAGAGAAGAGAAGAAGAGCAAGGGAGAAAAAGTATACAACGCTCAAAATCATTTCATTCCCATAAAAAAAGGCTTGACCAGCTTACATAATACAAGCCCAAATCAAAATACTAAACTAGCCCAATTACAAAACATACTAAAAGCCCAAAGTAAAATATTAAACTAGTCCAAAGTAGATGTCCTCATCAACTCTCCCAGGTAAGAGAAAACTCGACTCTGTCGAGTGAATGACTCACGAAAGGTTGCAGCCAGTCCCCCAACCATAAGCTGAGTGATTGGACAAACTTCTTCCGTCGTCCATAGGAACGTGTGACTGGTGGTCTGGGCAAAGAAATGTCATGCTAACTCCTATAAAGCTCCAATAAGTTGAGATCAAGCTGCTAGAGTATTTCTCTAGGGATCCATGTACAATTAGAATCAGGTGGACCTACCCAACGAACAAGAAAACGTTGAATCTCTCCATCATTAATCAACACAATCTGTTCATCTAAGATAGCATCAATTTTATCTCTGGATTTTGTGACGAGTGGTGTTGAAGTAGGGGTAACAACAGGTTCAAGTTGAAGGTCCACTAATGGGGGTAGAAAAAGGTCATCTGAGGGCTTAAAATGGCCTTTATAAGCAACTAAGTTCTCAACATTGAAAGTAGAATGGAAGCCAAAATGTGATGGAAGATCAATGACATACACATTTGGACCAACACACTTTAAAATTTTAAAAGGACCAACACTATGGTCTTACAACTTGGAAGCGGATCCAGATGAATACCATTCCGGTCTAATTCGGATCATTACATAATCCCCAATATTAAATTCAACATGTCGTTTATGCAAATTGGCTCTAAATTTATATGATGCATTGCTTGCCTCTAGTTGTTAATTAATCTCAATATGCAAGTTATGAAGATGTACAAATGCCTCAGCATACACAGACACATTAGCATATAGGGGCATATGGATAAGGTCTAGAGGCTTCCTGGGTTTATAAACATGAACAACTTTAATAGGACTCATACCTAATGACCGATTCACAAAACTGTTATATTCAATTTAGGCTATAGGGAGGATTAAATCGTAGTTCCCAAGATTTTCCTAAACTATACACATTAATAGATTACCAAGACTGCTATTAACAACTTCAATTTAACCATCGGTTTGAGGATGATATGCAGTGGAGAATTTCAACTTAGTGCCAACCATGTGCCATAAGGTTCTCCAAAAGTGACTAGTAAACCGACCATCCCTATTTAACACAATGATCTAAGGAAGACCATACAACTTATCAATCTCACTAAAGTACAGACAAGCAATCCTAGACGCATCTGAAGTCTTGCTGCAAAGGATAAAGTGGGCCATTTTCGAGAAACAATCCACTATAACAAAAATAAATCACGTTTCTTTGGAGTACGTGGGAGTCCTAATACAAGAATCCATACTGACATCTTGCCAAGGACAACTAGAAACAGAAAGAGGTGTAAAGTTCAATGTTTTGTCTCTTTTCTTTAGCCAACTGACAGGTGTTACGAGGGCTAACTATCTTAGCGACATCTGTCTTCAAACGATGCCAATAAATTGACGTTCAACCTCCTCGATTGTCTTATCACGTCCAAAATGCCCAGCCAAACCTCCAGCATGACTTTTCCAAACTATAAAGTCTCGTACTGAAGTTTGAGGAATACACAACATATTGGACCTAAAAAGATGCCCATCTTCTAGACGAAAACCATCAGTAACATCCGATTGTCCACTTTGCAAAGCAAGGAAAATGCCCTTAAAATCAGGACATGACTCATAATCTTCTTTGAGTCGTCCAAAACCTATGACCTTAACACTCATAGTGGATAAAAGGGAAATGCAGCGGCTTAAAGAATCCGCATCTTAGTTTTTACTACCTTTCCAATGTTTTTGTTGTGCATGTAACTCATACAGAGTGGAACACAGGTCCTGGATCAAATGGACCGATGCCAGCGCGGAGCGGAGCGCATCGAACGGAACGGAGCAGAGCAACGGCATCGGCCTTGCGCGGATTTTGGGGGGGTGGGGGGGGGGGGGGCAACCCCCCGGGGGTACGGTACAGGGGTATTTTCTGTACGGGCCCAAGGTAGGGTTTGTATAAAAATATGTTGTAACCCTATTTTTCACAACTGAATAAAGAAATCTCCGCTTCGCTCTCGTGGATGTAAGCACATCGTCGAACCACGTAAAATTCTTGTGTTGATTTTCGTTTTCATCTCTTTAATATTGCGCATAAAATCCAACAGTTTTAAGATAAAAGAATAGACCTGCAAGTATTCAATCAAACCACCATACCTAGAATTCAATATTTTTTGAGAATTAAGGTAACGAAGGGCCTCATGGTCTGAATAGAAGACAAATTCCTGGAGTAATAAGTATTGATGCCAACAGCACAAAGCTTGCACAACTGCATACAATTCATTGTCATAAGTCTAGTACCGTTATTAGGCATCATCTAATTTCTCACTGAAATAAGCAACAGGGTGGCGTTCCTGACTCAGGACTCCACCTATTCCTACCCTGAAGACATCACATTTTACCTCAAAAACTTTGGAGAAGTCAAGAAGTCGCATGACTGGAGCTTCTGTCATTCACCTTTTAACCAACTTAAACGCTTTGGCCGCTTTGTGCATCCAATAAAATTCTCCTCTCTTCATGCACTCCGAAATAGGAGCCATGATCGTGCTAAACACTTTAATGAAACGACGCTAAAAGGTCGCTAAACCATGAAAACTCCTAACGTCATGTATAGTCTGGGGTTCAAGCCAACCAACAATGGCCTGAATCCTTGTGGGGTCAGTGGACACTCATGTCGCAGATGAAGCCTAGGAAGATAGCTTTATTGGTGAAGACAGAACATTTCTTAACAAACCTATGTGAGATGATTTCGCTGTTTCCTAGTTTTACTGTACACGAGAATGTCATCAAAGTAGACAATGAGGAATTTACCCACAAACGATCGCAGGGGCTTGTGTCATCTCTCATGAAACTGCTCGAGGAATTGGTTAGTCCAAAAGACATGAACAACCACTCATAAAGACCATCCTTCGTTTTGAAGGTAGTCTTCCATTCGTCACCTAGGTGAATCCTAATTTGGTGATATCCACTCTTTAAATCAATTTTAGAAAATATAGCACCAACCATCACATCCAACATATCATCAAACTTAGGGATTGGAAAATGGTACTTCACCGTAATCTTATTGATGGCGCAATTATCAACACACATCCTCCACGAGCCATCTTTCTTAGGAATCAAAAGGGCGGGAACCGCACAAAAACTTAAACTCTCACAAATAAATCCTCTGTGAAGGAGCTTCACTTGCCTCTGAAGTTCAGCATGCTCGGTAAAATTCATTCTATAATGAGGTAAATTTGAAAGAGACGATCCACGGACAAGATCAATAGCATGTTGAATGTCTCATAAAGGGGTAACAGATCCGAAAGGTCTTCGGGAAAGACATCTCGAAACTCGTGAAGAACTGACTGGACCTCATCAAAGGTCAATATTGGAGATTCCAATGGAACTTCCATGACAACTGCGGCAAACACAACAAAATTCTCGCTAAGTGTAAGCTCAAATTCTATAGGGCTAATCATATGTAATATTTTTCGCTCCACAATTTTCTTGGTCTGTTGTGAATCAACAAGTGCAAGTAACAGCAACTTGAGCATTCAAATTAAAAGTTTGGGATTATGTAAGTCCAAACATAGCAAGCTACTACTGTTGATATATGTAAAATAACAAAGTGAGGGTCAAAATTACTAGTCAAAATCTAATCACGTAAAATAAGTGGGGTAAAAGTAGGGTTTAGCAAGGATTCAATTACGTGATTTGAGATAAAATACTTAGGATAATAGCAACAAAGAAAACTAATTGATGCGATTTTAATTTAACAGTAATACAAACTAAAGATAGATAAAAAAAGAAACTCCCCTTTTTGTAATTGGGCCGACGAACAGGACAAAAAGAGGTACCTTTAAAATGATGTTAGAAAATACCTTTTTTTCCTTTTCTATTCCTCTTTTTTTTTTCTTTTTTTTTTTTAAAAACTTACAAAATTAAACTAAATTAAATATAAACAACAAGGCAATAACTGGGCCCATTTCACAAAACTAGGCCCAAAACAGGTGGTTTTAATAGGTATTTGTAGTGGGGCTATGTGGTTTACCGGCTTTAGAAGAGGCAGCGACAAGGTTGGTGCAAGTGGAGACGATGATAAGGAAGCTTTTTGTGTTGGATTTGTTGTTGGGTACTAAGGCATGATTGGGGGACTTGCAGCAGATCGTGTTCACAAGCAGCGATTTTGAAGTTGTGGTTTATTGAAGGGCGTCAGTTATTGTGAAGTTGCCGGCAGTTACTATTGGGCTGGAGGTTTGGCTTGTGGGTGTGATGTTTTTTTAATGGGCTTAATGGGCTGTTGATGTAGGTTATGGGAAGATAGGTAGTTGCTGGCAATTAGAGGAGAGGCTCAGTTGTTGAAATCAATGGTAGAGTACAGCAGGTGAGTGCTAGGCAATCTTGGTGGCATAGTTGGCTTTGTTGAACAACAAATCCATAATGCAAAATTAAGTAGCAGCTGATGTTGGAAACAGGTTCGGCTCTAATACCACTTTGATGTAACTCAATTATAACAGTAGAAAATAAGTGGGATGGAAGAAACCAGCAGGAGGAGTAGTTGGGGAAGAAGAAGGAAAGAAAAGAAGAAGAGGGAGGGAGAAAATGTATACAACACTCAAAATCATTTCATTCCCATCAAATTTGTCTCCGCTTACACAAGGGATGTATATATATCTACAATAAAAAGCATAATAAAAAAAGGCTTTGGCCCAAATCAAAATACTAAACTATCCCAATTACAAAATATACTACAAGCTCAAAGTAAATTATTAAACTTGTTCAAAGTAGATGTCCTCATCACTCTCCCTTTTCTCTCTTCAATTCTTTTCAATTATCATAAGTTGCCCATTATGGATCTCTGTTTACAAGCGCCGATGTCAATTTGGTATCAAAGATACAACTCATCAGAGTCAAGTTCTTCTGAGCTAGAGAGAAATGATGTAATATAATTAAAGTTTATATAATACTAGTTTTTTGTCAGATGTGGTTTATTTCCTTAGTTTCCTACATCAATTAGATTTATTAATTTCCAACGTAGAATAGAATTGTTCAAATCCCTGTAATTGAGGGTTAACACTTGGTTATACTTACCCATGATTATTGAATACAGTCATAACTTATGTCTATCTAATTCCTTTATCTCTCTCTCTTCAATTATTCTCAATTCTCATTAGTTGCTAATTGTGGGTTCTATGAGTGTTCGACGTCAATTTGGTATTAAAAAATAATTCGTCGTAGTAGAGTTATTTTCAAAGTAGGAGAAATAATGCAATGATTAAAGTATATTGAAGGCATGAAGAATTTAATTTGTTGATGGCAAAATAAGACACTACATTTTTTGATCAACTTAAAAAGATTTGATAAGAATAAAAGAGATGTATTGCTTGAATTAACTGGAATTTGAATGATAATACATAGAAAACCACCTTCTCCTTTACCCTTCATCCCTTTATACAGGCTGATGAACTCAAGCTTGCCACCTTGGTTAGTGTTTTGATCTAAGCTAAGTGTCACTGCCCTTTTGAAGGAATCTGATTGGTTGACAAGTTTAACTGCAGTGGGATCATCATAATAACTAGGCCTTAGGCTTGTGTCATTGGCCATCATGTCATCAACTAATTGATGGATTAAGCCGTACCATCATAAGGGGGAGCACTTTCCTTATTGCGTCATGATGATGTTTCCATAAAACGTCTCCCTCGAGTTCGACTTCAACCTTTATTGAAGGGGTCTTAGGTTGAGGTACCTCGAATTGTCAGGGCTCTTTGACTCTCTTTTGACCAAGGTAAGGAGGACCTTCAACTAATCCAACGTGGATTTTAGATCCTCAATAACAAAACTAATTTGGATTTCTTTGATTCTAGTTTGCGTTGAATTAGAGTTATTTTCCTGGTTGGTTTCCTACTCAAACTAAATTTACTTATTTCCTACTTAGGTTAAGATTGTTTAAAACCCTGTAAATAAAGTGTCAACACTTTGTTATAATCACATCTTGATTGTTGAAAATAATTACTACTACTACAATAAATGCTTGACTCAATGAAGTGTGAATAGAGATACAAACCTAGAGTTGCATCCAAAGCAAGATGTGGAGTTGATGCTTGAGAGGCTTTGGCAGTGTAAGCTTTGAGAGCATCATCCCATCGCTGAAGTTTTTCATACCTTGATGCAGCAGTTTATATGATAAAAGGGATTTTCAAAGGTAATTGAACCACACGCATATCAGATTTTATT